AAAGAAATGAAATGAAGACCCTGGTCACTCTCTCTCACTCTTCCTCATAGTGATAGGAACCTCAAGTCAGTCAGAATACATAGTGACAGAGAAATGAACTCCCACACTTGTATTTCCCGCCCTGCTCAATTTCTAATCCTACTTTGCTTACCATATGACAAGGTGCCCTTGGAATGAGATACGATTCACTTAGGTAAGTCAGTACAGACTGGAAGTATCTAGATATTGACGATTGTGTTTGTTTATTGCCATGGCCTCAGCACAGAGCCCAGCATCAGGAGTGTAATAAATATGCAGTGAATGTTTTTCAGAAGAAAGGATGGTGTTACTAGACAGAATTTAAAACGACCTAAAAGATGATGTCTTGATGTTTGAGCTTGGATTTTCTGGTCGGAAGGCCATCGAAATAGAAGTATTAAGTGATGTCCCTTGGATTTTGGAAGGTCTGTCTTTAAGGAATTGTATATACACACTGATAATGAATACCAAAATTATATCATAGCTTACACAAGAAAGTATCGTATTTCTTCCTCCAGTGCTCCCCCCAATTTGCAGGTAAGCAGCCCAGCGACAAATGTGATTATTGAGCAGTGAGATCTAGGATGAGGTAATGAAGGTTAAATGACATCAGAAGTGCTGGGCCTTAGTCAGAAAGGACTCCTGTCCTTGTAAGAAGAGGAAGAGGCACCAAAGAGCCACACTCCCCCCACCCTGTGTGCACAGAAAATGCCATGAGGGGGCACAGCAAGAAGCAGCCATCTGCCAGCCTTCCCAGAAACCCACTCAGATGGCATCTTGGTCTTTAGCCTCTAGCTTCTAGAACTGTTAAAAAAAAAAAAAGATTTCTGTGGTTTCAGCTACCTAGTCCATGACACTTTGTTATGGCAGCTGCAGACAAATCTTCCCTCAGGAGAGGCTTGGGGCTGTGTGGCAGGTTAGTGCAATGGCTCTCTCACCTCTGTCTTCTCTGTTTCTTCAGTTCTTACCTCCTCTCTTTCATCTCTGTCCTCTCTTCTCTGCTATCTTCTTTCTTTTCCTCTTTCCTCCCTCCCCTCTCTTCTTTCCTCCCTGTGCTCCTGACTGAACTCAGTGCCTCACACACAGACTGGATCCCATTTTCCCTAATTTGATTCCACCTTCTGTTTTGTTATCTTTATCATCTACAAGGCATTCTTACAGTCCAAGATGACAGGAAGCAGCCAGAAGGAAGAAAGGTACAAAAGAGGCCCTTGCCCGAATGGCCACCAGCAATGTCTATTTCCACCCCATGAGTAAAGCCTGTCCTAGAGCCACACATAGCTATAATTTCCTCAGTTATAGTTTCTATTGCTGTGATAAAACACTATAACCAAAAGCAATCTGGAGAAGAAAGGATTTTGAAATAAACCTTACAGCTTAGTACTCCAAAACTGAGAGGAGCCAGGACAGGAACCTAGAGGCAGGCACTGGAGCAGAAGCCACAGAGGAGTGCTGTTTACTGATTTGCTCCCCATGGCTCATTCAACCTGTTTCTTATGCACCCCAAGACCACACATGCAGGGATGGCACCACCTCACATCACTTGGGATGGGCCCTCTTACATCAGTTCTTCATCAAGACGGTACCCTGCAGACTTGCCTACAGACCAATTTTATGGAGGTGTTTTATCAATTGTAGATCCATTTTCTCAGATAATGCTAGCTTGTGTCAAGTTGACATAAAGCTAGCCAGCACAGTAATGAAGATTTGAAATTAACCTTTTAATTGGGCATGTAGATGCCCTGAGTAAAATGTGGAGTCTGTTACTAGCAAAGGAAGGGAGACTGGATCTGCATCAGCCTATGTTTCCAGAAGGTTGAGCACAGCGTAGGAACTGGGAAGCTGCAGGTCAGCATCCCACATGGAGAACCTGTCCATCTCTCAGCAAGGGAATGGTACCTGTGTATCCAGAGAGGCATTGGGAGGAGCTAGTGCTCTCTGGCTAGGGAGTGGCCCGTGCCCTCTGCTTGCTGGGCTTAGTTATCTTACAGCTTTCTCATGCCCTGTTTCTAGTGCCTTGCCTATACCCCATTCTTAGCACCTGCTCTCCCTCACCTGCTCTCCAGTACTCTTGTCCTGGGATGTCTCTTGATACCTTAGGTCCTGCCCATTCCTCCAGGCCCAGTCAGAATCTTCCTCCTGGACGCGCTTCCCTTCTTTCAGAGTTGAGCCTGAAAGAGCTGGACTGGGGTGGGGATGAAATTCACAGAGAAGCTCTGTCTTGGCCAGGTGATCAGGATGAATGCTTGGTGATAAAATGTGTCTTAGTGTGTGCCTGCCTTGGATGTGCCAGTGATGAAGATGGTCTTTTATCTCTGTAGATTTACTTCCTCCTAAACCATAACCCCAGCTTAACTGTGGAACTGTCAAGATCATCAAAACTGAGGCATGTTGGAGAAACATTAATGTCCCAGAGTAGCTTAAGGGTGTATGACAGTTTAATGTAAGGTGGGATAGGAGGGATATTTGAGGAACCAGGCATTTAGTTGATATTGATATTGACAGTCTCTTAGCTGTGACTACTGTATCATAGTAACTTGTGAGAGCCATGGTAAAACTGGGGAGCGATATTGGGGTTTGGAGAACTCAACACTAGCTTTTCAACTTTTCTGTGAATACAAAATAGAAGTTAATTAAGATAAATCCTGTCTGCCCTACTCACTGGTGGTATGATATGGGCTCTGTTCCTCCACTGTCCAGTGAATGCCACACCATACCTTCATTTCAGGGTAGAGAGCAAACTTCAGCATCCCTGCATGGTAGGTACCAGGGCTTTGGCCCCTGAGTATCTTCTGATACTTTCCACATTGAGCCTTCTGTCAGCTTGAATGCATGTTCTTCTCCTGCGTCCCAGGGCCACCCAGGGAGGTGCTGTGAAGGTCTCATGGCTCAGCAAGTCCCTGTCTCTCCCCATGTGGAGTTCCTTTAGATCTTGAATCTGTGCAGTGCAGCTCCCCTCGCCTCTTCCTGATGTAGCTCTCCTGGAGTGAGACTGCGTTTTTATTTGCATATTTCACTCCATTCTCCCCTACCCCATTGAATTTAGTTTTTCTCTTTAGGAATCAGTATATGAGTCAAACTGCCAGTTCTAAATTTAGAGCTGCCTGCGATGTGGAGATTGAGTTTGCTGCTGCCTGCAATATGTATTTGGAAATAATGGTTTTATTTATCCACATCCAGTAATTCTGACTGCCTGCTGGGCTTTCTCAGGAAAGGGTTTGTCATCTCCTTCCCTCCTAATGATGAAATGTTGCCTGTTTGGGTCCCAGAGGCCCAGCCTGAGCCAGACACTAGTGACTTGAGTCTCTGTTTAATTAAGCAATGCCATCCTCAAGGTCCTGCCACCATAGGGCTCTTTGCAAGGCTTCTGTTCCAGGGAGTTTGGAAACAGGTCTGGGACAGGCTTCTGGACTCACTGAAGCATGTAGACTTGTCTTTGGGCCCAGCCTGATAGAATTTGTCTGTTAGAGGGTGAGGGGATTACCCCTTTTGTGATGAAATATGTACGGTTTCCTGTGATTTGGGTACTGGAGACACGGAAGTAGAACACCCCCCCACCCTTTGAGGAGACTGTCACATAGGCATGAATGGAGGATAATGAAAGAAGGCAGGGTGGGTAAGAGGGGAAGCGAATGATCCATGCTGTGAAGAAAGGCACGGAGAAGATAGGTTAGGCTTTAAGTTTGATGGATATTAGATGTCTCCAAGGGAATGCAGCTGGGGGCTTTCTTGACCGAGAAAACAGAGCCTGCGGACTCAAGCAAGCCCACCATTGGGACATCTCATTGATTATGTCAAAGGTATGCTTAGTTATCTTACAGCTTTACTGGACCCTTCCGTGGACCCAGTGCCACACCAGTCATTAGGCCTGCAGCAGTGGTAAAGCCTCCACCCTGACACAAATGGTTCTTGGCTGGGATGTAAAGCAGGCAGTAAGGGGTGGTATGTGCCAATGTTAAGAGCTGAATGGTACGTACGAGTTAGCCTCACAGGAAGCTCTAGTAATATACCGTATTTTAAGTGGCTTACACCAAAAATTCTCTCTCTCCATCCCATGTCTCCCTTCTCTCTGCATCTCTCTTCCTTTCTTCCTCCCGTCTTCCTTCCCTCCCCCTTCCCCTTCCTCCCTCCCTTCCTTTTCTTTCCTTTTTCTATCGATCAACCCTGGAGTCTGGAGTGTGCAGCACTCTTCCATGAAGTCCTGCACTCACATACTGAGGTACTCACTTCTGGGGGCCCAGCACCCCAAATCCAAGGGATAGATAGCTGTGCCATGCGCCGTCTGCACGCTCAAGGCTTAGACCACTCCTTTGCTTTGTCCCTTTCCCAGTGGCTTTAGGTTTCTGAAGCTTGTGGCTGCAACAGTCAAGTCCCTGCCTCTGTTTTCCCATGGCTTTCTCTCCTTGTCACCATCTATCTCTTACAGGCATTCGTCGTCACTGGACTGTTTAATAGTCCATCTGGGGTTCATCACCAAACCCTTAACTTTACTACATCTGCAAACCCTCCTCAGAGGCTTTTTGGGGAAAATCAAGTCTTTGCCTTTTCCAACTTATAGTGACTATCAGTATTATGCATCTGTGCCACATCACTCTAATGTCTGTCCCAACTGTCACATTACCTCATCTTCTCTCTATCAAATCCCCCTTTGCCTTCCCCTCAAAAGTATACTTACGGCATAGGCTTCAGCTCAGTGCTCAATGTGTTAAGAGGCCCATGTTCAACTCTAGCACCAAAAGTAAGGGACACCAGTCGTACCATTTAGAGCCAACCAAGATAAGCTAGAACAACCTTCTTACCCACCCCTAACCCTTATTGTAATCATATCTGTAAAGACTCTTTTAAAGACAGTTTCATCTCAGAGGCTTTGGGTGTGAAGACATTAACATGTTATCTGGAGGCCCATCCAAGCCTACAGAGCACACAGAGGCCTTTGTGTGTACTATATGTGGCTCTAAAAATTTACTAACTTTCTTTTTCAGAGGAAGTCACCAGGACTGAACAATTAAATGATTCAAGGGCATTAAAAGATCAAGCAGTGGGACCAGTGATTGAGTCACAACTCAAGAGGAAACTCATTGGCACCTCCCTGCAGCACACTGAGCAGAATTCTTATGGAATCTCAGGGGCTTGGAAGGGCCAGCACTCGGACCTAGGCAGAAGTAGCTTCCTGTGGGGACACAGCACTTGAAGAAAAAATGGACCATGGTTGACAGCCTTGGGTTTTTACTCAAAGTCTTTCAGTGTGTGAAGGCTCTGTGTTTGTGGTGGAAGCAAGGGGCTGTCAGTGGCCAAATAGGGACAAGTTTGAGGGCCTGAATGTATGAATCAAAGGTCTTCATGTTCCCTGAGCATTGCCCCAAGTGAGGTCCTATACCTTAGATATGAGTCTGCTGCGGTCCTTGCCCTTGAGACAGAGTGGAGCATCCCAAGAGACAAATCCTTGCTTTACCTCTTGCTGTCTGTGTATCCTTAAATGTCCCAAGCTCCTGTTCCCTTGTTTGGAAAATGCCAATATTCTTGAGATTCCACAGGGATTAAAAAAAAAAAGTGGTTGGCACAGTTCCAAAATACATCAGTAAATGTAACTTCCCTTTCATCGAGAGACTTTGATGCTAGGCTAAAGAAGTATTTTCCAAACTGAGTGTACCAAGACTCTCAGGCTCCTGTACGCATCTCTACAGCATGGCTTTCCAGTACAGACTGATCTTACTGGGTGGATTAGGACACCCATATGGTAGTTTTGCTCAACTCATGGTGATTTTCTGTCATTGAGTGGGGGTGTTGGTTTAGTATGTTTGGAAAGGAAAGGTCTTGGTGTGGAGGACATGAGAAAGGAGTTTTCACACCCAGATGTGTTGACAGTGTAGTGTGGGATCCGGGTATAACCAAACAAATCAGAGATCCCAGGAGCTGCTGGGGTTCTGTGCAAGACTAGATGTTCCACTTGGAGAAAGCTAGGGAGAGGTGGAGATATCTGGGCTCTAGTCTCAGAGACAGTCATTGACTTCATTTGAAAAGTTCAATTTGCAAGAGACAATTAGATGGCTCAGCAGATAAAGGCATCTCCATCCCTGAGATTCATCCCTGAGATCTTCAGGGTAGAAAGAAAGAACCAACTCCAATACATTGTCCTCTGACTTCCACACACACACCTGTGTGCACACATATGCACACATACCTATGTGCACACACACATGTGCACATACACATGCACATGTGCACATACACCTGTGCATAGAGTTAGGCCTCTTGCTCACACATGCAAAGCACTAACCTACTCCTGACCTTAGGAGGATTTTTGAATAGAGGAGTCATGTGATTAGATCAGCCTTTCAGAAGGATTACAGCCTTAGTGCCTGGAGATTGGAGGTTGAGAACTGAGGACTTGGAAGAGGCTATAGGTGTGAGAGGAGGCACAGCATTCACTGCAGAGCCAGAGCTGTGAGCTGCTCAGCTTGGGCTAACCCCAAGTCTACCCAGTTTGGGCTTATCCAAACTCTACTTTCATCCCTTAGTTTCTTAGTTTCTTGGTTTCTTTGGCTCTAAAATGGATAGAATGTATTTGTCTATCTTAGAAAGTTATGAAATATAACAGATGAGTATACACAGCACCTGGCACACCACAGGGCTGAGTAAATGTTTTCTTTCTCTGATGTTCTTCAGGTGTTGTTAACCCCCTCAAGAGGAATGATCTCTTTGCTTGATTTCTTGCTTAATAGATATGCAATTTGAAACTCTTAGAAATTAAAAAAATTATCTAACCCTCCACATGTCATAGATAACAGCTCAGAGTTTTTTGAAGCCGTTGCCTTTCATGATGGAAGACAGGCTGTCATCTCTGTTTCTGGCCTTAGGAAGGAGTCCTGCCTTAGGAGTTGAAACTTCTCTTGGTAGCCATTTGCTGGAGGACATTTGTATTGCTGTGGTATTCCTTTCCACTGCCCCCAGCATTTAGTAAACTTCCTGTCAATGTCTCCAGTGTCAGCTCCACTCATCAGGTTGGGTTATGTGGTGGTGGGCAGGATAAAGAAATGGGGGCTATAAGGACCCTTCCCAAGAGGACAGTGCTGCTGCCTGGTCTCCAGGAACCAAGACACAGATACCTCTACAGAGGGAACTGGATCGGAAGGAAGCAGAGCTGCAGCCTCTTGCTCAGTCATCACCAGTGCTGCCCTACTGGCTCATCATTTCAGCAGCCTGCACACTCTCCCCGCCTCTCAGCAGCTGTCAAACGGATTTCTGCATCCTGCAGCCAGGCTTGCTTTCAAGAGGAAGGATGCTCATTTTCTGCCCAAGCATTGGTTTCCTCAAGAACCAACATCCTTGGATACTAAATGGCCTGGTTTAAACATGAAAACCCTTGAAGAACTTAGGAAGACCAGGACCCTGTGTCTGAGACAGATCCCAGGAAGGAATGGGGGTCCCATGAGTTTGTGAGCATGAGTTTTCTCCTGCCTGAGTAAAAAAACTCTCCAGGCCCCTTGTTGTTTTCTACATCCTGAAAGGGGGAAACTCTAAAGGATCTGTAGAAGAACTACTTTGAGCAGGAATCCTGTCCCAGATTCCTGAGAGAATGTTTGCTTTGTCATGGCCCAGTGGTGAGACTGACAGACATGTGGCTTTGGAGTCAAACTCACCAAGCTCCATGCCCCCACCTTCTCCTCTGGTCACTTAGACCATCAAATGAGGAAAGCTTAGGGGAAGCCATCCAACTGCACGTATGTATTTATCAATGGCCCATCAGAACTTCTGGCTGTATATCTGTCTCTGTCTCTATCTGTCGGGGAGCACAGGTGACTGGAGAGAGACACAGATAATCCCAGAGGAATTCAGGAGAGGATAGCAAATCCAGAAGCTGCAGAGCAAGCAAGCCACAATGCCTCCCAGTCAGGAGTGGGAAGGCTGCAGACTTGGCAGTGTTTCAGTGCAGTAGTCCAGAGAAAGACTTCCCTCTTCTGTAGAAGCTTGTCTTTGATCTACAGCCAACTGACTGCGGCCCACCACATGAGGAAGGGCAATCCACTTTACTTAAAGTCAAGCGTCTTAAATGTTAATTAACTACATCTAAAAGATGGCCTTATTAAACATCCACCATAGTATCTGTCCAAACAATGTCCTATACTAGCCAGCCATGCTGACATAGAAGTAAGCATCTCATCATGTGAGGGTGAGGGCTCTTGATGGGGACATTTCCCCTCATCTCCCCACCACCCCCTCCATTGAGAAACAGCACTTACTGCCAACTCAGGCGTTGAACTCAGAGGCTGTAAACACCTGAGCGTGGGACCTGAGTCCCTCCTGACTTTCTTAGGACTGTCTCTGCTGGCTTTCCACTCCACAGCCAGCCCTGGCTAACTGCTGTGCTTCTTTGCTGCCACCTGTGCTAGCCTACTTTCCCCAAGCCCCATCCAAGTTGTTGCTTCTTCTCAAACTTCAGCTTTGCCATAGTTCCATTAGGCTAGATGGCATGAGCCCTGAGTGCCATAGTGAGCTTATGCCAGCTGCCAGGGTGGCCTTCCTGGGATGTGTCAGTTAGCAGTGACTGGGGAACTGAAAGAGTCCTTTGGGTGAGTAGGGATTACCTTCCTGCCTCAGACGTTCTGGGTGGTACATGACCATAAGCAAAGGTGGACCCCATTCCACCTCAGAGATTTACATGCCACAAGCTACCCCAAAACTTTCTCCATTTTCTTCTCTTTTTCGGGGGTGTGGGTGGGGGGTAAGGGAGGTGTTTTGCATGGCTGCAAGTGCACCATGTACCTGCAGTGACCACAGAGACCAGAAGGGGGCATTGGTTTTCCCTGGAACTAGAGTTTACAGGCATGTGTAAGCTGCCTTGTAGGTGACAAGAACCAAACCCAGGTCCTCTGCAAGCAGCCAGTGAATGCTCTTAGCTGCTCAGCCATCCCGGCAGCCCCCAAAGGCTTCTCACTTTAACGGGATGTGAGATTGCTCTTGTTGAAATTAAAGAACACCTTGCGGGAATCTGTTAAGGCAGCCTGTAATTGTGACCCCTCTGTCCCCACCTCTTCGTGTTCCTGGGACAGTGTCACTTTGTGAGCCTCATGACTTATAGAATCTTGAAACAAGAGAGCTGTCCCTTACCATTTCGGCCCCTTGTATCAACTTCCTGGGTAGGTAGAATAGAGATGTGGGAATGGCCTTTTCCCATTTTCCAGAAAAGGGCATTAAGATTCAAAGAAATGAAACAATTTGTCTAAACTCACAGATGGTAATGGAAAGCCTGGGCTTCAGCTTAGAGTCCCTCGTCTAACCTGCTCGGTGCACCCTTGTGATTGATACCATCTATCGAGCTGCCGCAGAGAAGTCATACTGGCACTGGGAAGGCCATGAAAGCATCCAGCAGAAGAAGTACCACCTCAGATCCCAGCTCTGGTAGGCAGGGTGGGCTGAGTGAACTTGTTTGCATTGGAGGATGCTGGTTTCTAGCCACCAAATCTAAATGCTTTCCCGTACTGTTGACCTAATTCAGAAGGCGTTTATTGAGGCATTACCCTACCTCAGGTTCTCTACTGGGGGGCAGAGTAAGCAAGCAGAAGAATAATAAAAACTAGACTGGTAAGTTTTGTATTTGAAATGTCAACAGAAGGCTTTGCATTTATAGGAGAAGGTGCAATTAAGTCATTCCTGATAGACAAAGACAAATACAGCTGAGCCCCAGTGCCTGAGGCAGGACCTAGACACTAGGAGACAGGAGATATGTGGTGTCTGCTCTTGTCCCTTGATCCCTGTGCCACAGACACCAGTACTACAGGCTACTTACTGTGCTGTGTGCAGACAGCTAGGGACAGCCTGGATGCTGTAGGACTCAGCTACATACAGTTCTGCTACAGTCCCTAGCATTGCCTGTTGGTTTGACATAGTACCCGAAACATCAACTACAAATAAAGGGAATGTGCCCTGCAGCCTGAGAAGAGTTCACAGTGAGCAGGGACTGGGCACCCGGGTTGCACAGGGGATGAACAGGCCTTCGGGACATACAGGCTTCAGGACTGTGCCTGCCCTGCTAGGGACTGGGAAGTGGAAGGCTGTTGTCTTGATTCGCATCATTATTTCAAAACCCGTTTCGAAGTCTCCTGTGCAGTATCCTGTCAGCTTGTTGCCATGGAGAAGTAGGTTGGGGCTAGAAGCTCTGTCCTTCTCTGTCAGCATTTCTGGACCCACCAGCTGCCTTCTGCCCCTGTGCAGATGTAGTGGGGCCAAGATGGCATTTCTGCATAGGCTGTGGCTCTGCAGGTACTGGTGCTATGGCTCCTGTCCCCATGGGCTATCACTGCATTCACTTGTGCACTGACACAGCTTACTACACCAAGTGCTCTCTGTTTGCCAGGCATTGTGCTGCACCCTGCAAACGGAGAGTGGACACTGACTGGTGGGACCAGCCGGCCTGGCCTGCTACGGCATCCCCTTACCTGCTCTCCTTACCTTCTCCGCCCTCAGAGTTAGAGGGATGTTTTGTTTCTCTTCCACCCTTAGTAATTGTTTAGAATCTTCTTGGAAGGCCAAGGCATAGGAGGTGCTCAGCCAGG